GTGTGTGTGTGTGTGTGTGTGTGTGTGTGTGTGTGTGTGTGCTTAGCAGAGAGAGAGCCAAGATATTCACACACAACCCATGATGGCTAAACATTGTGTTTATGTTCAATGGAGATACGTACCAGAGATGTAAATATTTACAATAAGGACATGCTGAATTCAACCAAATCTTGTACATAGCTTCCTCTCCTTTTATTTATCTTCCCAAAATATCTTTTTCTCTCTCTCTCTCTCTCCCTCTCTCTCTCTCTCTCCCTCTCTCTCTCTCTCTCCCTCTCTCCCTCTTTGTTCCCTCTCAACAGTCCAAGGAAGAAGTCGGCTAATTTTAGAGTTGAAGCAGGTCGTAAAGGCGGGTTTTGACATGCAAGAGAGAGACAGAGAGAGGTGCGGTTGGGACTCCATCTGCATAATCTGCCGCCTCTGAAGACGGAGTGAGAGACACACCGCTTTAAGACGGGCTATTCAAGCCGGACGTGTTCGCTTAGTCTGCCTCACAAATGGTGGTCACTGGGGAGCTACGGGATGGGTCGATTATACAGGAGGAGGGGGATGGAAAGAGATGGAAGGGGGAGGGGAGGGAAAGAGTTTAAGTTTTAAGTTTTGCCCCGAGTGGCGAGTTTATTGGGCAGCGCCACTCATCCTGTGAGTGGACGCACCGCCATAGTGACAGTATTGGGCAGCGCCACTCATCCTGTGAGTGGACACACCGCCATAGTGACAGTATTGGGCAGCGCCACTCATCCTGTGAGTGGACATACCGCCATAGTGACAGTATTGGGCAGCGCCACTCATCCTGTGAGTGGACACACCGCCATAGTGACAGTATTGGACAGCGCCACTCATCCTGTGAGTGGACACACCGCCATAGTGACAGTATTGGGCAGCGCCACTCATCCTGTGAGTGGACACACCGCCATAGTGACAGTATTGGGCACCGCCACTCATCCTGTGAGTGGACATACCGCCATAGTGACAGTATTGGGCAGCGCCACTCATCCTGTGAGTGGACACACCGCCATAGTGACAGTATTGGGCAGCGCCACTCATCCTGTAAGTGGACATACCGCCATAGCAGCATGTACAACACTCCCCAATAGGAAGAAAACCCGCTGGGTTTCATGTATATGAAGCGGTCAAGGGCACGGAAAGAGGCTCGATCATGCGGAAAAGAAGTTTATAGCACAAGATAAGAAATCTTGAACACGGGTTTTGGCGTCTAACAGAGAGAGGATCACAATTAAAATCAGAACCAAATTCAAGTCATAGGGCGTGTGGGCAACAGCATGGTGAGTCAAATGTAACATGAGCATAAAAATACATTAGAATACAAATACATTAGAATAAAGTAAAGCGCAGACTGCTTACTGGTCCGCAGGAGGCAGCTCCTATCTATATCCAGCTGCATTTGTGTCCATCCTACGCTTGAAACAATCCTGCTCTCCCACGTGTACTATATAACCCAATAGATGGAGACATGGGTATAAGGTCAGTAATCAGTTCCTGGTGCTATACTACGGAGAGAGAGAGAGAGAGAGAGAGAGAGAGAGAGAGAGAGAGAGAGAGAGAGAGAGAGAGAGAGAGAGAGAGAGAGAGAGAGAGAGAGAGAGAGAGATAGAGAGATAGAGAGAGAGAGAGAGAGAGAGAGAGAGAGAGAGAGAGAGAGAGAGAGAGAGAGAGAGAGAGAGAGAGAGAGAGAGAGAGAGAGAGAGAGAGAGAGACAGACAGACAGAGAGAGACAGACAGACAGAGAGAGAGAGAGAGAGAGAGAGAGATAGAGAGAGATAGAGAGAGATAGAGAGAGAGAGAGAGAGAGAGAGAGAGAGAGAGAGAGAGAGAGATAGAGAGAGAGAGAGAGAGAGAGAGAGAGAGAGAGAGAGAGAGAGAGAGAGAGAGAGAGAGAGAGAGAGAGAGAGAGAGAGAGAGAGAGAGAGAGAGAGAGAGAGAGAGAGAGAGAGAGAGAGAGAGAGAGAGAGAGAGAGAGAGAGAGAGAGAGAGAGAGAGAGAGAGAGAGAGAGACAGAGAGAGAGAGAGAGACAGAGAGAGAGAGAGAGAGAGAGAGAGAGAGAGAGAGAGAGAGAGAGAGAGAGAGAGAGAGAGAGAGAGAGAGAGAGAGAGAGAGAGAGAGAGAGAGAGAGAGAGAGAGAGAGAGAGAGAGAGAGAGAGAGAGCTCAACAGTAGGTGCAGGTAAGCAATCAAGTGGAGTACCTTGAGATGAGCACCTGGCCCTCACCTTCCCGCCAGCCCTGATGACAAGTGACTCGTCAGTGATGTCACTGAAATATTTGAGGACGCCTCTAGTGGTGTGCGTGTGAGGCCGCGGAGCACGGCCCGCCGGTCGCCACGGAGTCCCACCTGCAGAGAGACACAGAGAAGATTGTGTGTGTTAGAGAGAGAGAGAGGATGTCCATACCTAACCCACCCCTCAACCCCCCATACGAACTGTCACCCACACAACCCACCACACCCACTTACACTTTGCTTGAGCACCACTTAGTTTCATCCAGATTCCAGTGGGTGTGAGATTCTTTAGTGTATTCACTATAATACACTCAAGAATCTACATAATCTATACACCTGACTCTCCTCGTCACTCTCGCACTCTCGTCCCTGCATACGGTCTCTGCTGACAGTTTCCTGATACGAGTTAGGAAACGGCCGACCAACCTCACTGTTGTGGTGAGAGACTGGCAAATATTGAGGTAAAACCAAAGGAAGTAATTGGACGAGACAATGTATCCCCCAGGATGTTAAAGGAAGCGGCACAGGGCCTCAGCGTACCTCTAGCATGGATGTTTAATGATTCAATTGCAAAAGGAGAATTACCCAGTTGCAGAAAGATGGTAAATATGGTACCAATATACAAGAGAGGGGGATAAGGGAGGAAGTCTTTAACTACATAGTCTTTAACCCTTGTAATGCAGCGGAAAGAATAATGAAATTTAGACTTGTTACAAATAAAAAGAGGATTAAATATGTAAACAATACATCAAAATGACTGTAAGGAAGAGAAATCCTGCCTAGTGAACTTAGTGAAGCAACTAAAGTAAGACAGGATAGAGGAAAAAAAGAGAGCAGTGAGCGGATATTCACAATATTCACTCAGGTGGCGTATGTAGAGAGGATAACATCAGCGGCATACTCGACAGTTGCAGCAGCCAGGACATCATTCAGGAACCTAAACATTCACTCAAGAATGAAGTACAACTACTCTCAACTACTATAGTCTTCCCACTTACCTAAACTACCAGTCCCCCCACTACCCTGAACTACTAACTACCATTCCCCCTACCACACCCACTAGTTCTTTATAATTGGCAGGCCAATTACCATCCCATTTTGAGCATGAAATTTGGGCCTGAGTTTGACCGACGGTTAATTAGACTTAACCGGATGAGGTCCACTTGAACTCTGAACCCAATTGCGCTCAAACAGGCGTTCAACCAAGTGTGTGAACAAGGCAGTTCAGTTCAACCAAACGTTATATTATTAACATTAATTATTAAAGATAAAATTGAAAACTATTTCTCTCTCTCTCTCTCTCTCTGTTTCTGTATGTTTTTTCGTTCTCTATTTCTTCTACTCTTTTTGTCTATTTATATCTCCGTCTCTCTTCACCAGCTGCAACATTGAGGCGCATGTCCTGCAATCGTGTGTTGAAAGGATTGATGCAATATTTGCAAGTTGAAGAGTCAAACAGTGTCCCCACGTGCAGGGAAGGAGGCTCTTGTTCACCTGTGTGTCATACACCACTAGCATTCTGCTGCTGCTGCTGCTGTTGCCGATGCTGTTGATTCTGCTGTTGCTGATGCTGCGTCTGCCTCTGTCACCTGCCACTCTCAATCAATAGGGCCAGAAGTAAGAGGCTGGAAAGCCTGTAACTTACACGGATGTCACATGACACTCGCGTAACACAAATGACACTTGCATGACACATAAAAGACACTAGCATGACACTTAAATGATAGCTAAATGACACTGATTTCATCTAGCATGGCACTCCCTAGATGCTTGAATTGAATTGGCATGACATTCCATCACAGTAATATGACACAAGCATAAATCTTGCATGTCAATTGCAGGACACATACGCCTCACATGATGTTCAAATAACACATACGACTCATACAGTACTTGCATGAGACGTGAATAATATGGTGTTCACAAAACACATATACGACTCATATGGTGCTCACAGGGACGTATTTTAGTGGGTAAATGGGTGTTGTACACTCTTTTGATACTATCAACAGGGTTTACATCTCTCGGGGCACTATTGTGATGCCCTGTACACCTCTGGGGGGCATCCCTTTGATACCCTCAACGCTTCTGAGGGCACTACTTCGATGCCCTTTCCACCTCTCACGGCACAACTTTGATAGCATGGGATGTAGTCTGTTCCAAGTTGTGGAAGGGAATACATACACATGGGATGGTAGTCTGTTCCAGGCTGTGGAAGAGACTACCCAAGCGCCGTGAAACTCTGTAGTGGCATCGACACACAACATGAAATGATTTTCAAGCACACGCGAAAAGGAAATGCATAGAGGTGAAATATTTGATGTATCAAACTTGTATTCTTTCGACCGTCAGAGAGGGATGCAATATCTAGGAGCTCTCTCCCCCCCTCCCTCCTACATCACTTCTGGGTCTAGTGCCTCTCTACGGCCGCCCCCACCCCTGCCAGATCCTCTTGGAATAGTTGCTTTCCACGACCACCCAATCCCTACCAGCCCTTACATTAATGCCTCCACCCACCTACACTCTCAGGCAGTGCCTCACTTCGCTGTTGAAAATAAACACGACAGACCACTCACACAACACATCTAGAAGACCAATCTTCTACCACAAGATATTGTGACAAAGGCAGAAGACCATAAAGAAAAAGAAAAAGACGCTGCTTGATCTTCCAGGGCGACTTATCACGCCACTATTGTGTCAAGAACAACGAGGAGAGACGGATTAACTTAAGACGACAAATACGGCTTTCATAATGGGTATAAGGGCCTGGGGGAAGCGTTGTGTACGAGGTGACTGCTATTTCCAGACGCTGTTTATTGTGATAGATTAGGACAGGGCCCCCGGAACCAAGTAGATCATCACGATAGATCTGACCCAAACAAGGAGGAGGAGGAGAGGGAGAGGTTACTCATGGCAGCGATCCACTTCTGGACCCGGAAGATCCACTTCTGGACCCGGGAGATCCACTTCTGGACCCGGGAGATCCACTTCTGGACCCGGGAGATCCACTTCTGGACCCGGGAGATCCACTTCTGGACCCGGGAGATCCACTTCTGGACCCGGGAGATCCACTTCTGGACCCGGGAGATCCACTTCTGGACCCGGGAGATCCACTTCTGGACCCGGGAGATCCACTTCTGGACCCGGGAGATCCACTTCTGGACCCGGGAGATCCACTTCTGGACCCGGGGATCCACTTATGGACCCGGGGATCCACTTCTGGACCCGGGGGATCCACTTCTGGACCCGGGAGATCCACTTCTGGACCCGGGAGATCCACTTCTGGACCCGGGAGATCCACTTCTGGACCCGGGAGATCCACTTCTGGACCCGGGAGATCCACTTCTGGACCCGGGAGATCCACTTCTGGACCCGGGAGATCCACTTCTGGACCCGGGAGATCCACTTCTGAACCCGGGGATCCACTTCTGGACCCGGAGGATCCACTTCTGGACCCGGAATATCCACTTCTGAACCCGACAATACAACGTTTTGAACCAAGAAGACTGTGTTGTAAATCCACCAAACGCCAACCAAAAACGGGAATTGCATAATGTTTTGTCCGGTTACTGCACCATTTTAGACAAGACAACCGCAGTCTATTTTAGCCAAGGATCTGCAGTCTAGCCCAGTGACCAGACCACTGTATAGCTCAAGGACCAGACTTCATTAGACCGAAGACCAGTCCACTATATAGATGAAGGAATAGACTTAATCAGACCGGGGACCGAATTGCTATAGGCCACGGAGCAGACCACTATGGACAAGGTACAAGGCCCCTCTAGGCAAAGAACGATACAACAATAGACCTGAGACCGTGCCCATATTTCATTACACACAGAAATCTCGTCTAAGAGCGTGTGGGATGCTCTTGGACGCAGGTTCGAATCCTCGTCACGGCCCTAGTGGATTTGTTCTTGAGACCGTGGTCTTGTGTCACTAGATGTGGCAATGCTCTTGTCAACACCTGCAACTGTGAGCACCAGCTCGTCTGTTTGGTCAGGATGCTGTCTGTTTTTATGTCTGTGTCTGTCTGTCTTAATGTGTGTCTGTCTGTCTGTCTCCTTCGCAACGATTCACGTTGCTAAGATCTTTGCAAAGATTTGGTGTTATTGTTGTGTTGGTGGTTTTGGTGATGGTGGTGTTGCTGGTGGAAGTGTTGAAGGTGGTGGTGTTGATGGTCGAGATGATGGTGGTGATGGTGGTGTTGCTGGTGGTAGTGTTGAAGGTGGTGGTGTTGATGGTCGAGATGATGGTGGTGGTGGTGGTGTTGCTGGTGGTAGTGTTGAAGGTGGTGGTGTTGATGGTCGAGATGATGGTGGTGTTGCTGGTGGTAGTGTTGAAGGTGGTGGTGTTGATGGTGGTGATGGTGGTGTTGCTGGTGGTAGTGTTGAAGGTGGTGGTGTTGATGGTCGAGATGATGGTGGTGATGGTGGTGTTGCTGGTGGTAGTGTTGAAGGTGGTGGTTTGATGGTCGAGATGATGGTGGTGATGGTGGTGTTGCTGGTGGTAGTGTTGAAGGTGGTGGTGTTGATGGTCGAGATGATGGTGGTGGTGTTGATGGTCGAGATGATGGTGGTGATGGTGGTAGTGTTCTGCACCACCAGTAGAGATCAGTGAATATCGTAATTCAGTAATCAATGATTCAGCTAGCATGAATGTCATCTTCATGTCAACTTTCATTTTGACGTGCATTTCAATGATGTGATTAGATAATTCGCCTCCGTAATACCCAACTTTGTCTCTGTTGAGGCTCGAGATGAAGAAGTTGCTGGATTTCGCTTTTATCAAATCCTGAAACTTGAGTTTCCTGTGTTGATCTGTCAACATTTTAGTACATTATCTATTTCAGTCTCATTCATGACGTATATTTCTTTCCACATTCTCAATTCCCATCTATCCCACATTCTTTATCCTCCTTCCTTTCCACATTCTCATCTCCCATCCATCCCACATTCTTTATCCTCCTTCCTTTCCACATTCTCATTCCTTCTCGTTTTTTCGTTTTCTTTCACATATTCCTATTTCCTTCCTTGCTGCATTCTCATTTTCTTTCTTGGCGTTCTACATTCCCATTTTCTCTCCCATATTCTAATTTTCCTTCTTTTCCACATTTTCACTTTCCTTCCTCGCATTCCCATTTTCTTTCCATCCCATATTCCCTTCTTATATCCCATATTTCCATTTTCTTTGCTTCCTTTCTACAATCCTATTTTCATTTCTTCCCGCATCCTCGTTTAGCTTCCTGCTCCTTTCCATTCC